ATGGGAACCATGAATACTATTGCTGTACAACTGAAATAATGGGATGCTTGGAATACAGCTGACAAACTACTATGAAGTTCTTTGTAAGAGGATGTTTATAAACCATCAAAGGACTAGCAGAGGTGTGTGCAGAACACATGCAGAACACCCATGGTATTATCTGATGGGGACCTGTAGATGACAAAATATCCTTGCATGGCACTCCAAGAGATGTTGTATGATATATACACGAGTCCATGGGATGCACCCACAAGTACTGAGGGAACTGTCTGGTGTCATTGCAAGGCCACTCTCAATTATCTTTGAAGGGTCGTGGTGACTGGGCAAGGTTCCTGAGGTCTGGAAGAAAGCATGTCATCTCTATCTTCAAGAATGGTAAGAAAGAAAATCCGGGAAATGAGAACCAATCAGCCTCACCTTTATTGTGGGGAATGTGATGGAGAAAATAATCCTGGAAATAACTTCCAGATATTTTAAGATGGTGCTTGGGAGTAGTCAGCATGGATTTACAAAGAGGAAATCATGTCTGACTAACTCGATAGCTTTCTACGATGACTGTCTCAGTGAATGAGAGGAGAGCAGTGGACATGGTCCCAGACAACCGGCTCCAGGTGGCCTGCTTGAGCAGGGGGTGGTGGACAAGATATCCAAAGCCCCCTTCCAGTCTCAGCCATTCTGTGAAAAGAATCTGTGGCATTGTTAAGGACTACAGTTTGTGTTCTTGACACATACACCAAACAAGCCATTAAAATGCATGATAGATGATAAACAATACCATGTATTAGGACCATCTATAAATTGGAGCTGTATGGTTGTCCCAGATGGTTGGAAAGGTGGACCTCCGCATATACCATTTAATTACCAGCACAGAGAATGATTCTTTGTGTTTTCTCTCTGTCCAAGTAAACAAATGTGAGCAATGCATTTTGAACCAAGGCTGTGATAAAAAGTGTGTGCTTTAGAGTCCTGAGCAGAAGGAAGTGAGTCCCAGGGCATTCAATATTAATTCTGACTATTCAAGAAACAGTCTAAAGGAGAAGCAGATCCTGGAAAGAAAACCAGTAATCCCAATCTAGTAAAATACTATCTGTGCTTCTACCTCTAACTTTTTTCAATTTGTTTTCTTTTTATTCCATCTTCCCCTTTTTAGGACAAACTTGCAGCAGAGAGTGACTTGGAAAAAAATCTCTATGAAGAAATATGTTGAGAATAGTTGAAATCAGGCCCACGGTGGTCAAATCCATTGCACTTTGCTGTCTGCTCTCTGTGCAAAGTGATTTTGTTCTGCAGCTTGGCAAAATGGAGATCTCTGCTCCAGCTAATTGAAGGTCACCGATTCTGTGGTGTTACAAACCATTTACTAAAAACAAGAACTCACAGCCACATATCAAGTATATGCATGAAGGCGGAGTATTTTTAGACCATTTATAAGAAGGTGTCTTGAATGGGCCTGTTTTTCTGCATTATTTACGCATTTATCACCTTCAAGAACCATGTTCCAGCACAGCACTAGCTACTCTGCTAACAGCCATGATATAGCACTCATCTTAAGGCCAGACAGACTTGCTCTGAAAGCGTTGTACATACCTGCTGATAAGAACTAAGAGGAGTAAGAAGCCAGTTATGATGCAATAGATGAAATGCTGGGAATACAGCAATCATACTTCAAAAATCTATTTACTTTTGTTTTTATGACTGTGTGTTAACTCCATCAGGTTTTGATGCAGACTGGCATGCTGTGAATGACAAGTGGCAAAAATTACTTTGAAACAATTCTTTGCTGTGACACTTTAGGGAGGACATTGCATTAACAGTTTATTTCAATAATACAAACTTCTAAGAGACTGGAAATTAAGTATTCCAGATGAGCTTTAAATACAGCGTAAGAACATAAGAAGTTTTGGGATTAATGGACAAAACCTGTTCCCACTAAATGTACCCTTGTACTGCCAAAAGAGCTTTGAAATAAAATAAAATCTAGAAGTGGCAAGTTAGAGGCTATTAGTGTCAAGAGTCAGACCAGCCAGGCAATTCTAAACTAATGTGATTTTGGTATTAAAGAAATGTTTGAATGAACTTTTATGTTCCGCTTCACTCTAGAAACCAGTTGTTCCCTTGAGAAGCTACCTGGCTTCTGAGGCATTTGCTGAAGCACAAGAAGTACAACAGATGACTGCTTGCATTATTTCCAGATAACAAAGTATATTTATTTAAAATCTGATCTTCATTAATGCTTGAAGTGTGGAAAAAAAGAAAATGAAATTCAAAGAACCTCATAAATGCTTCTTGTAAAATAAAAATGAGTACTCCTCAGCAAAATAAGACATCTTCGGTTTAACAACTACGGATTAGTCAAGTCTGTAATTCTAGACTGAATCAGAACAAGAACTGTTTCTGTACTGTTTATTTCTTTGGCAAAACCCAGAAGGTATCGCTTTTCATTATGAGGTTAGCCAACTTTAACAGAGATTTTCATTTAAACTAAAAAGGAAGATGCAGAAAATTATCAGCAAATGGGAAACAGATTTTCATCTTTGAATGTCTGTGACAAATCAGGACAGGTCAATGAAATAATGGTCTCTATCTCTGAATGGTCTCTTTGTCCAAGTGACTGCAACAAACAAACTGATCATAACCTTCACTTAGTGTCATGTCTGGCAACACTCATGGGTGCTTTGGATGCCTCAGGGCATGGAAGTGCCAGTGCATGTCTGGACAACTGAATCAAGCTCTGGTCTAGGCTGGTCAGATACTGGCTTTTGAGGCCCCCGTTGACTGTACTGACCAGGCCTCCACTGCCTACAGCTACCCATGCCAGCCCTTACACACAGACACATAAAAGTAGGAGTCGGTCTCAAACTTTCCTCCTCTCATGGCCATACAAAACAGCCATGGTAAGCAACCTGTTTTGTTTCTCCCCTTAAAATCACAGCTAAATCAGGAAGATGGAACAGATCACCTCTAAGTAAGTGCAGCAGAAGATATGAAAGGTTCCCAAACTCTAAAACCATGTTCCTGTATTAATAAAGCTCTTTAGATAGTAGGACTTGTTGGTGGGATAGCCTGAGGAAGCCTTTCTGTCTGTTGTGTAAACACAAAGAGCTTACACTTGTGCACTGGTCTGTCTCCTTTGACAGTGTTGTATTCCATTTTAAACCTCTTTGCTGCTTGTTCTTTATTGCACTTTGGCTGAAATTCCCAAATTCACAGCACTATTCATCCTCAGCCACTATGTAGCTTAGGATTTGGTAAATAAATATATCAACTAGAGGAACTGAAGACTAACTCTTCCCCATCCTAGACCAATGACTTACAGGGCCACACTCTGTGAATCTTGAATTATTTTCTGCACAGCGAGACAGATTCAGCCAGAGGAATAAAGCATGCCCCTACCTTACCCTTATAGCCTTGAGCTTCCTGCAGTCTACTGGGTAGTGCCATTCATACATATGAATTTGAATCCCTTTGATAGAATGCATCTTTCAACCTTGCAAAGTTTTCTTTCACACTGAACTATTGTTCAATGCCTTATTGGAAAGGACCTAAAAAAAAAAACCAAACCAAACAACACTCTTAACAGGAATGGCTGAAGCCTTCTCACCTTGTCCAGGTTTCCCTATTAGCAGGCTTGAGGTGGCCCTCTGCAAAGCGTACTGGATGTTTGGATTGCCACCTGTTGCATTAAAAGCACAAAACTGTACAGGGAAACTGTGCTGCCATAGGGCCCGGAGGCACTAGATCGTAGGTGAGATGTTTTGGTTCATTACAGATCACTCATTCCCAGTTACACTGACAGGGGATCTAAGGTGCCACTGAACCCTTCAGCTCAGAGGCAGCAACCATTTCCGAGTCTTAATAGGAAGCTGCAATTATGTCTCTGCTGCATTTTGAAGTGTTTTAACCAAAACTGTCCACATGTTTCTTCAGGAAAGGACAGGGCCATTAGCTCACTACTATACGGTTCACACCCAACATTTCTGTAGTTCTGTTCTGCCATGCCATCTTTAGTAGGAGCTCTTGAAGATTGTTAAAAGAAGAAATATATTTCTACCCTAAAGCTGAAATTAATACTGAAGCATAAGGAGTGATTTTCTTGGGCATAAGACATGTTGGAAACAAAATACCACGCTAAATGATGATAGTGTTGCAAGTTTGTTGACAGATGTGCACTGAAAAAGAAAAATGGAACAAAAATTATTTTGCACATGGCTATACTATGAACACCTGAAATGTTAACATGACCACCAGGGACCTCAGGGTACTCACAGGTTCTGATTGCCTTAATCAGCTCATAACCATCTGTTTTTTTTCTGCAATATCCCCCTATAACCTCTTCTCCTCTTCCTCTTAGGGGTTTAGCTACCTGTGTTCAAGGTCAGCTCTGATAGGGCACAGCTGCACAACCTGGTACAGCAGCTCAGCTGCTCTGCTGTTTATGGTCAGCAACTTGGAGCAGTACCTCAGATGGCCAACCAACGAAGCCGTCACAGAACCAGCTGACACACCCAGAAGCAGCTGGGAGACAGCAGGGGCATCGCTGCTTTCACGGCTGCTGTTATCCCTGGCTATCACTATACGATCATCCCTGGTTTTGCTAAACTCCACTAAAACCAGTATGGGTGGATAAATGTAGAATCTTTAGTTCTGTACATGAGTAATTACTTGAAATCACATCTCTGCATTGCAGCTCCAAGATGTTCTTGACTTTACCTGCATTAGTACTCCCAGACTCACACTGAATTCAACCAGTGGCAAAGTTATGTATTTGCGAGTCTTCAGAAAGGATAAATATAGCGTCAGAGGCTTCTGCTGGCTTCTGCTTTAACTGCTCAACAAAAATTTGTATTTACTAAGCAGAAAATTATTTCCACTCATAATTAGTATAACTAATCCTTTCAAAATTATTACAAAAATCAAGTTATAAAAATGTATTTTAAGGATCTGCTAGTGTTACTGTTCAAAAACCCCAGCCAATATCAGTTAAATGGTTTTATTCTCAAAACAATTGATCAGCAATATAAAATATTTTAACACTATTTCTGTTTAAATATCAGTGACAGATTATGCATTTTCTTAAATAAAGTGCTGTTTTTACAAATAGGTATTTTATATTTACTTTTACTGCTGTTCTAACTTCTTAATATTGAATAGATAAAGTGTATTTTGGTTAATGAAGAATGCAGCATTACTTTTCCTTTATATTCCTTCTCATGAAACCACTACATTTTCGATTTGGACTCCTTTATCTGCATCCAGTCAATAGAGGCATATTCAGTTTATATATTTCCCCATGTAGAAGCTCTCATAATTCATGGTGGTTTTCATGCCTTCTTCCATGCTTCTGTTGTTCTTGACTATGCCTCCTATGGGTTCTTCATCTATGGGCAAGTGTAGAATGAAAACATGAATCTTCTTATATCATCATTCATTCTACCTGCTCTTCTGACTTTGTTCTTCTCAAATGCAGACCACTGATACCTTGAACAATTCAACACTTGAGCTACAAAAGCAAGCTCTTTATTTTCTTTTATTCTTTGTGGGATTCGAATTTTAAATACATTATTGCAAAGTCCTATAAAGGTGTAGTTAGGGCTAACTTTTCAAATTTTCATTTGTACACTTGAATTTACTCAGCCAGGTGCCAAACTTCACCATAAGAAAAAAAAAATCTTTTCTTCCAGTAGCTATCTTTTAGGAGAAGCAGCTTCTTGTGGTTTTATAGAGCAGCCAGCAGCTGTAAAAGAAAAAAAAAAATCCGTAAAACTAAAACCAGCAAGACTTACAGCTTTAAAGACGACAAAGTAATTACACAACTACCAGAAACAGGCTCGCATTTCCCAGTATCTTTATACCAGACTCAACAATTTGACCCTGTAATTCATTTTACTCATCTCCTGTACAGAGAGGTATGAAAAGTCAGTCACTTGTGAAAAGGTCATCTACTGCCACAAACCTTTCCAGTACCTCTCTCTTCTCAGTGTGCACCTTTCCAGCAAGTGGCTACCCGAACCCTGTATGATTTTTACTTGCAAGTCTATATTGGTTTTGCTCCTATTTTTACTTTTCACTCTACAATCTCTGTAACTCCCTCCTCTGGATAATTTCCATTTGGTATTTTTCACTCTGAATCCAAAAGGGGAAAGTAAATATACAAACAACTCCCCACTCTCTTCCACTTTATTCTGTCATATCTTTTAAAATATGTACATACGTATCTGCATATAGGTAAGTGTAAGTATGTATCAATATTCAACATACTATATGTAGACAGAAACTGCAAGACCATAATTTCTGCAAAGAATTATGGATTGAATGGCATCACATTCTTTTTTGCACCGCAGGCATAGTTACTCTTCATTTAATTTGTATCTGGAGAATATTCAGTTAATTCTTTTGATATCTCTATCTTCCCTTTGTTCAGTGGCCCTGCTAGATGTTGGGGTGTTCTCTACCCACCTGTTGTAAGAGAAGTGTTACGTTTAGGTGGGGGAGAGCTAGATGTCTATACTGAGACCATCAATCAGTATCTTCTTTTTCATTTGAGCATTTCAATAAACTTGATATTAGAAGATAAACTAATCTAACTGGCAGTTACTTTTATGTCCTACAAATCTTTTTTTCATAATGAGGTTAAGAAATGCCCTAGTAGAGAAAAAGAAGATTGTGTCCTTCAGAGTATAAACCTTGGATGCTCTTTTGCTTTTTTCATGTAATTTTTGTAGAAATAGCAAATTCTGTTACAAGCCCCAGACTTGGGCAAGGGAACTCTGTGAACTGTTTCCATTTTTTATCACAGATCTGAAATGTAACACTTCCTTACATATGTATTGTAACTAGCATATGGGATTTTATTTCTACTCTTCTGGAATAAATAATTTCAGCTGGTTTGCTCCTTTTTTTTCCATAATCCACATGAATTTTTTTTAGCTTTTTATTTTGGATTTGGCAAGTCTGTGTTGACATGCAGCTCTCCTTCCTTTGGCCTAATTTCTTTAATTTAACTTGCAACTTCCAAATCTGTTCAACCCCTTAATTATCCACTTGATGACTGCATGACTCTTGACACCCACCCCTCTTCCTCAAAAAACCCCCCTAAACAATTAGTCCTGGCAATTAGGCATTCAAAAAGTCTGATTTTCTACCAGAATCATGTAAGCAAAAGTCATCACAAACTACAAACAAACATTTCTGGGGGTAATATAATTTTTTTAATTCAGTTTCCCCAGAAAACTAGACTTCATGGTGCCACTTGCTGTTTTCACTGAAGTTGGAGCACAGACAAAAGGAGGAGCGTTTTGTTCCTTGGAGCAGTCATCTTGCCTCATGCCTCCACGGGCTGGTCATCTGCTCTAAATTTAAATGGTGAAGCCACAAGCTAATTCTGTGTTTGTTTGACACAGTTCAGTGGGTTATAAGGAAGCAGTATCTTCCTAGTAGTTTCTCTTATCAAGGACAGGGTGATTAGCATGCATTGGCAATTTTCCAAGTCATAATTTTTTCCCTTGAAATCTACCAAAGTGTCAAAAAGCTCCATAACATTTACTCATAGAATTAATTAATTTCAGCAGAATTTTCTGAAGGTCACCAATTCATTTCCATTAAAAAAAAAAAAAAAAAAGAGATGGAGGCAACACTCTCCATGCAAGTACTCTTTGACTATTCAGAACAGGGACAAGAACGATGGTGCCCCCGAACCTAATGGCTTACAGGTCCAGTAACCACTGAATTATTTATACTGCAGTTATGGCAGTCATCTGCCTTATGCAGTTCAGGCAAGGACTGGAATATGGAGCTCCCACAGCCTAACCTAGTGTCACTAGCATGGGGTGGGGAAGAAGTGGTTTCAGTATCCTTCTGAGAGAAAGGAAATATATGTCAAAGCCTGTTGTTTTCTGTATAGCAGAATCATCTCACTTCCAGCCCCAGGGATGACATAGCAACTGACGTACAAAGGAACCTTTCCCCCGACAGTGAGCTTTATTAGAATAGAAATTGCTCATCTGCCAAAACCCAACAGTCAACAACTTTTCTACAAGTTCTTGTAGTGAGTATCACAGCGAGTTCAGAAGCAATGACCTCAGCAGGAGGTGCTCAACCAGAAGTAAGCTGAGGACACAAGCCAGCAAGGGATTTGGAACTTCCAAAAAAAACATCCAGAAGAAACTGTAGTATCTTCCTGAAACAAGCCTGTTGTTTGAAATTAGTTATACCATCAATCCTCTGCTTCTGAAGGTCTTGCTTTTACTTTTTTTTGGTCTCTCATTGTTTTCCTTCTACTGCATTCCTTGGAAGTATAAATGTAGGTAACTCTACAGTTCTCTGTTCTAGAAACACTCATCTAGATGTTTTTCTGTTGCTGTTGCCCACCACCTCATACCAGGTTTGATGAGCAGAATCACTCCTGACCCAGCTCCTGGCAGCAGGGGAGGGACTGAGCCTGGGCAGTGAAGATTGGGGCATTTTGGGTGAACTGAAGCTAAGTGGGCATTGGAGCTACGGATGGGGAAGGGTGTAGAAGCTGTAGACATTCACAGGCTTGGTGATGGCAGTCAGCCCACAGACCTCCCACAGTTATAAGCTACATTTCCAGAAAGTGAGAATATTTTCTCCCTGCTTTTCAATTTCTGAGTCTTATGAATATATTTGGATTGTACTTCATTATCTTCTACACACCTACAGGCTGGAAACTTCGTAAAAGCAGAGCTACACTGGCAGCCACTCCATCTGAAGGTACTGAGCTTTTGAAATGACTCAAAATACTGAGGAAATCACAGTGATTGGTGTGAAAACAGTGATACTGACACAGCTGGAAGACCAGGATATTTTACTATCCTGCGAACTACATCTACCTTTCTAAAAAGGCAAATCATGAAGTGGCTTTCTTGCTAATGGTGTCCAGACAAGCTCCTAGGAAGAGCTGCAGAGAAACCAGTGGTTGTGGACTGTGCAAAAAGCATAAAAATTTCACATATTACTTCTCAAACACATCACAGGAGGCAGTCAGTTACAGATGCCACGATGCCAATCAACGACTAGACTGTAAGGAGCTAGAGAAGTAAGTTCACATTGAAAAAACTAAATGTATTCACCAAGGAAAAGCTTGGGAAGGTTCACATTTCAGAAGCCTTCTTTATGTGGGAGTCCAAGGTATCTTAACCTGAAGTATTGGTAAAAAAGGTAATGAAACAAATACACAAAGCAAATAATAACAAATTGCTAGACCAGATTTCAGAGGAACACAAGGATTAAGCAGTTGAACTGCTGAATACAGAGCACAGGTTCTTGTTTAAATTGCACAAAACTGAGAAGTTTTTTTAAATGATAGGTTTTTTTAATAGTTCAAGAGGAGATCCAGGGAAACACAGACCAGCAAGATGGCCAGTAATACCAAGCAGATTAGCATAAACTATAACATAGAACAGGAAATGTTATGGAGAACAATCAAAAAGGGATTTGTAAAGTCTTGCCTCACTGACCTACTTGAAGGTGCCAACAGTCTTGTAGAAAAAGGAGGTCCACTTGATGCCTGATTTTTTACAAGGCATTTCACAAGGTCCAAGGCTGGGTCTTAAGACAGTAAGGAACCCACAGGGTAAAAAGTTTCTTGTGTGGATAAATAACCAGTTAGGAAGGCAGTGATTTTTTTCTATGGTAAAGAGATTCACACCACTAGCACTTCATAGGGATCTGCATGAGGACTCAAGATATTTGATATGTGATTTTGAAAGTGAGTGAAGTGACAAACTTATCCTAAGTTATCCACGTAAATAAAGAGAAAGGCAAACAGAAGACTGTCGATAGGATTTTAGGAGACATCAGTGCCCAAAAAATAAGAAGTCAGACAAAATTTGATGAAGATAAATATGAAGTAAGGCATATAAAAAAACCCCAAACAAACGTATGAGTGGTTATATAAAATTATAGGCTCTGAGCTTGAATTCAGCAGATGAGCTGGGTAGTAGATGAGAGGTCATTCCAATTAATAAAAAGCAGAGTACCAGAAATAACTATGAAAGGGCAAGAGAACTGAAAATAGCGAACCCAACTAAAAAACTCTGTTGTGCAAATCCACAGTATGCCTTCATCTTGAATACTGTATGCGAGGCTGGTATCTCTAAGTCTGAAAGGATACAGTAGGAATGGAGAAGATATCAGAAAAACTATAGTATAGAGAATGATTAAGCAGCCTGTAAGTCTGCCTGGAAAAAGCATGACTGAGGAAGAGTATCACAGGTATCTGTAAAATTATCATGGAGGCAGTGAAGAGGAAAAAACTGTCCACCATATCTTCTGATCCAGTAGGATGAAGCAAAAGAAGTCAGGACATGGTAAGTACACAGCTAATGAAAGCAAGCAGCTCTTCACCAGCTGAAGAAGCTGAAAACAACTGTATGGACTTAGGATCTGACTTGGTACAGCTCCTCTTAGGCTCCAAAGTATTACACATTCCTGGAAAAATTTCTTCAAATTCCAGAGACTGCATAAGGGTCTCACTGCTACATTTTACAATAAAAAGCAGCTTACCTGGAGCAGAAACTTCTTTTATCTACATGTTCTCTCCCTCTTCCTTCTCCTTCTCTAGAACTTAGTGCTTCTGTTGCTGTTCCACAGCCAAATCTATTTCACAGAGCTCTCACACACAAAACCCCAAAAAGCTAAATCTCTGATGGCAGCCCCCTTGCAGGTCAGCAGCTGGTCAGCAAGAGCAACTGTTGCTTCATTCTTACAAAGGGATGTTCTCCCCAACTCTGTGCCACCATTACTGTCTTTTGCTGTCTTCAAGACACTTTTAAGGTCAGTGATTACTCGCAGCAAATTGCTTGGAGACACATTACATCTATATGCTGCTCCAGTTCTTCAGTAATTCCAGTTCATTACACCACATTATCAAATCCCAAAGAGTAGCTTCTGCTCACCTAGTAGTCCCTACAGAAGAGGCCCTTCAAGTCTGGGACGTTATCAGGAGACATCCTTAAGCTCCCCACACACTGACTACTCTGAAAATGGGAAGTAAGCTGCACAGTCCATACAGTGACACCTGACAGTGGCTTTCAGCCAAGCAGACTATACAGAATACAGAAAGTAGCCCACATCGCCTAACTACCCCAGCAATGTCCAGTTTTCACCAAGACAGCAGTGGGACTACAGTTAGCATTTGCTTTCACATATCTAGTGATTTTCAGCTGACTGAGACTGGAACAACCGGAACTCGCTCATTACTAAGGCCTCCTAAAGCATACAATACCAGCCACTAAACAAATGAAATTATTTTGTGAGTGGGTGCAAGCAGCAAATAGGCAACCGAAAAAGAGTAAGAGGCACTTCAACATGGTGAATTTTTTGAAGCCATTCAGCGGCTTTCATGTCCCTCCTAAAACATGGATCCAGAAATACATGTATAAATAGATTTTGCCCCACTCCTTAACCTTGAGTAATAGATGCATCTCTGCCTTTGGTTCAGGTAGCTTGCAGGACAGAGATTTGTAACTTTTATATCTAGGGTTGATGGTAGCAAATGTATTCATGTGTTAATGTCAGCACCTTTCTGTACATTTTGAATATAGATAGTACGTTTTCAAAGGCAGTTTCTCCAGCAATGGCTAGCAGTTAACACTGGTGGTTGGAACAGGTGTGTTCCAGAGAAACTGGCTACAGGCAATCATACAAAAATATTACCTATACAAAATAAATAAATAAATGCATACATACATAAATACATAATTAACATAGCTTTCTAAGCCAGTATACTAAATGGTAAACCTTGAATATCTTTAATCTACTTGATCACACTAAAGAAATTTGTCTCCTATAAAAAGTATGCAGAAGTAAATTATGTACCATACAGAAACATGAATGCTGCAAGCACTGGCAGTCCCCAGGCCCAGGGGTCTCCTCATCTTTACTTTTAGGTTTAGGCTGTACTGTGACTCTACATAGGCAAAGACAAATGTCTTCTTCACAGGTTTGGCTGGACTATATCTTAGACTGGGTATTATGAAGCATTTCTTTCCAGAACGGGTTGTTAGACGTTGGAATGGGCTGCCCAGGGAGGTGGTGGAGTCCCTATCCCTGGAGGTGTTTAAGAGTTGGGTTGACATAGGGCTGAGGGATCTGGTGTAGTTGGGAACTGTCAGTGTGAGGTTAATGGTTGGACTGGATGATCTTCAAGGTCTTTTCCAACCTAAATGATTCTGTGAAATGCACCTCCCACTGCTACTATACATATATACATACATACACGCTATATACAGTATACCGTTTGCTATACTTGCATCTATTTTCTGTATTAGTAACATGTAACAAAAATCTTATGCTTATTCCAGATAGTACTGAACTACATATAAAAATCTTAGAGATATCTCTACCTTTTTACCTTGAAATCTTCTCTACAGTCTCAGCAAAAGACACAAATACACATCAATCGTTAACCGAGAACGAAGTAACTGTTTGTCACATTCTGTCTTCTAACCAGTATTAATTAAAAGTATCCATATATTTTTCAATTAATTTCAGGTGCTACTTACACTGGGAATGTCCTGGAGGTCGTGTGTTACTAACACTACTCTCAAAGGAAGAGTGGAAGTTGTGTATAGTTTCTTGTAAAATCTGCCTCTCTCGTCCCTGTAAAAGCACAATAAATTAAAATAAGGTATTCATAAATTTCTGTTTAAAAAATGAATTTATTAAGAGTTCACAAAAAAATGTGTAAGTATATGTATCTATGTCCAGAGAGTCACAGTGTACTATTAGGAATAGTAACAAATCCTTTCCTCCCAGACGTGTAGAAAACCCTGTAGTAATTTTTTCTTGAAACTACCAGACAGCAATAGAAACATTTTCACTATTTTCTTGATAGCTTTATAGCATGGAGCATCATCCACTTCCCCTAACTTTTATCCTCATCACTTGCTGCTGTTGATCTTAACTTGGGGAAAATTGTGTTTTGTTTATCCAAGCTTCCAGTATCAAAGAGAGACTGTACCTCAGAACTGAAAAAGCAGCTAAGTGTCAGCATGCCTAATTAAAGAGATGCTCCAGTCCATAATCCTTCTGACAAGAACACTGCTTACTGTATGCCACTCTTAGCAAATTTGTTTCTGTCAATATAAAAATAAAAGGCAATGAAACCGTAAGTAATGAGAGAAGTGCTATTTACCTAATAACAGAGAAATAAAAAACTGTTGGGCAAAAGAAAGGAGATCTTTCCTTTTACATTATATTCTCTAGCCGGACTAGAGCTGCCAGATTATTCTTTTTAGCATCACTGAAATCAATATTCAGTAACTGCAATACTGCCAATGTTTATGTTACCAGCAGCTTCTGTTGTAATTTCCAATACTCTTAAAAGAGCTGTACAGTCACTGAACTAGGAAAGAGTTAACAAAAGAACAGGACTTACCACAAAGGAAGATATTTTTCACTAATCAAATACATTAAGTATTTTGTTTGGAAAACATTCATTTGGCTTTTCTAACCAACATCTACAACTGAGTTTTGAAATGTATGTTGAATTAACAATATAAGCAAACCCCGAATTTACTCAGTACTGTACTTCAAAATGTACCTTTCCTGCATTCAGTTCAGAAATAGCTGCCAAAATTTGCTGTCTTGATCCATCGGTTTTAATACCCAGCTCTTTCAGATCACCATCAGTAAGTGTAAGGAAGGCTTCCATATCCACCTACATACAAAAAAACGAAAATAAAGACAAAACAAATTTACCTAGGCAAAGATTCACATTAAAAGTGTTTGTTGGTTTGGGTTTTTTTAACTGTATATACTTACTGTAAATATTATGCACACAAAAATTTTTAATGAATTACCAGCACCAAATGGTACCCACTTTACTATTCTGTTGTCAGGTTTTAAATCTGCTGTTAATAATTCAATTAATGATAATAGTATATTTAAAATATTAATGATTTTTTTTTTTCAAATGCTATAAATTATATACTCTCCATAAAAATTCCTCTACTTACAGTAGCAACTAGCTGAATAAGACTAAGATTTTTCTCTATTCTTTTCTCCACACCCCTCCATACCCCTCCCGCCCCAGTATTTTGGGAATTTCAGAATATCACATGTACTTTTCCAGTTCATATATCAGTTTTTATTATATGAACACATCCAGAAAGCTGCGATATGAACAAACATTTAAAACTTTGTTTATTGATACAACCTTTGCGCAGAGCGTATTAATTTCTACAAATGCTCCCTTCCCTATCATGTAGGGAAACAATAATAAGCGCAGCGTATTGTGATGCAGCTAAATAATCTGGGTTTATGGTATCGAATCTTGAACTCTGCAGCAATGTGAATTTACTGTATGTCCATTCACTACCCTCTGCCTTTGGCCAAACAAACACACAATTATTGCTCACATCTAATGGTGTCTTAAACATTGTAATTAATTAATTTTACTCATTCTTCCTTTCATTGCATCCTTCAGGCAAGTCACTGCCACAGGCCTCATCTACAGTGATGCTCAGATTCCCCAATTTAATTCTCCTGTTGCTTATTCATAATGGATAATGAAGAGAAAGCAGCCATCTCAGTGACACACCCTGCTGTTCTCCATCTGCAAATGATGTTCCAGCTGTGATTCCAGGGATGATACAGCATGTCCTTATAAACTGTTTAGCCATATTGAATGTAGACATATATAGAAAAAGCAGAGTGTAAAAACAGAGAGGGGGAAAAAAGTCTGAAGCACCTATCTGTGTTAAAATTGTAGATTCAGTGTAAAAAACACTGATATTTGCAGTGTCCTGGAGGATGCCATGAATACCACTTGGTCCATATTTCAAGGTCCTCTCTGCAATCGGAAATGGTAGTAAAAGTTTAAATTTGAGATTCTGGATCACAATTCTGATACAATGTGTGTTGCACCTTACTTTTCCTAAAAGAGTAAAAAAATAAATCTTTTAAAAAAGGCATACCTCTTGTTCTTCAAAAATAGGTTGATATTTCTCAAGTGACAATTTTTTAAGGATGCCAGTCAGCTCATCTGTAATAATAGAAAAGAAAACAGAAACACCCCCATAGATCAGGAAGGATTTTAGTGATCTCGGCATTGTTAACTGCTGAAAAGATATATTAAAACATATATTCTACTCAGTGATATATGATAACAAAACCCAATCACATTTATTCTGCATCAGAAATTAAAATATTGGTTTACTGTGTTCTCACCTACTTCCGTATACTGTAATTCCATCTAATCTTACTTGCTAGAATAAAACCTTTCTGTTGTACTGCCCTTTCTTCCTCATTAAAAGGATTTAAAAAAACCAAACCACTAGAGGACATCTTAGACACTTCAATGCCTAAAATGCAGGTGCTTGGCCCCAGAAGGTTGACCCAGATCATGAAGGTTAGATCACGAAGCTCCTCAAGCAGGCAATGAACTGAATGGCGTATTTTCATCTCATGATCCAGGAAAGCAAAATTAGAGCAAGCAATCACCCAGTTGCTTATTCAAAGCACTGATACAACAGGGTACATATCTCAACCTCTTCTCCTTAAGTGCTTGACATCCAGGCGTCTTGACCAGATGAAGTACAGCTAACATGAAACCTGGGCAGAACTTGTTTCATAAGCTTACCTTCCAAGACTAACAACACTGGATATTGGGTTTCCTCCCAAAGCCTAAGGAAATTAAAAGTTGGATGACCTGATAGTGACTCTTCCCACACACTTAAAATGTGATTAGCCACTTAAAAAGCGTAAATGCAGGTTTAGAATAACCTGCAATTACCCCTCTTAATTACATGCTACCTCTCTCAACTAAGGATTCTGTTTATTTTTATTGCTTTACTGTCACAAGTGACTGATTTTAATTTTGCCCCTAGAAGTACCAGAATGGTCAGTTAAACGAAGGAGTCAAAGTCAGAATGAAGAACATGAATTATTACACTACATAACCAAATTCTATTTGGTATTCCCCATATAAACTCACTTTCATTGTAAAGACATCACTATTCCATTCCCAAACATACTTTGCTTTTATTTATTTCACTTCCTTGTCTTTTGACTGTCCTGTTTCTTTCATCATCAATAGAAACATAAAAGAGAATCTCACTCTAAGCTTCTCAAAAGACATCAAGTATCTTGAGATGGACACACTTTTTTATGCACCATTTTGGAAGCCTCCTTCTTTATATAGAAGAGACCACAGAAAACTGAAGTGAAAAATTCTAGTTGAGTCTTATTTTCTGCTAGAGTTTTGTTTTTTACCTCAAGGCCAATTAATCTGTTATGCTTAACGTGATCTGTAAAGGATGGCACAGTTTCAGGATGAAAGTTTTAGTACCCTAACTGATGTTAATCCATGGGAAAAGGCAACCAGTTTTAGAAATATGGCATGGGAACTTCTCCATTAGTTTGATGGAAAATACCGTCTTAGAGAAAGAAAATAAAAGTTTCATTAGAAGTCCTTAGATATATTATTAACCTTTTTTTCTTTTAGGTTGTTAGTTAGCCTTCTCATTTTTCATCACACTGGTGTGCTTGAATTACAGGTTGTGATATGGGAAGAAACTTCCAGGGTCTCTAAGCCCAGAGCCTTGCTGTCATAAACAACATCTAACACTTTTCACACAGACACAATACTTTCAGCTGGAGGCCTTTCAAGTTTTCGTTTCCTCTTTCTCTCTTCCAGTTCCTGTATTACACATTAAGTTTAAACAAAATCTGAAACCTCTCAGTTTTACAACTCTTGCATAACATACTGTTTCTCCTTTGTTTTTTCACTGTCTTTTTCTTCCCTCTACTCGCATCTTGTCTCCTTACCTACATCCCTGGAGAAAACAAAGGTTCTCAGAGCTCTTACTACTTCTGCCACATTACTCCTATTTAGCATCTCTGTGTAGTAGTAGGGGAAGATTACCTTTCTCCAAGTTTTCTGAGCCTCCTTTTACTCTCACGTGGTTTCGTCTTTCAGGATTCTCTACATCACTGGCTCTCAGAATAGGGACAAGCTGTTGATGGTCCACCAAGTGGTTGCCTAAAAAGAAATCATGCATACCTCTGAACCTTGTTGTCTACTGCTCCTTCACATTTCAGTGCAAATCAATCTTCTAATTCATTTAAGTTTACCTGAAAGACAAGTTAACGTTGGAGGTCTTCTGTACTTATTCTCATTACTGCTGGGCCTATGAGCATTTGTATTACTGCTGCTAATTCAAAAGTAAGAGATGCCCTTGAATTAAAGGACCACTAAACTATGAAAGATTACAAGCACAATGAACCCAGAACTACTTAGGTTTCTGACAACCTATCCCTCTGCTACAGAGGAAACTCACTGTCCCATGACACCAGTGGTGCAGTCACAAAGCCCAGCTTCACCAGGTGAGATGAGAACAGCTGATAGCTTGGGGAATTCCCCTTGTTATCCAACAGGAAGTTCTCTTCCTTTTATATATTTCTAAACTGACAACTCTTACATTATCAAGCCATCACTGTAAAATGGCGCTAAGTAAAATATAAAAGGATTTTCTCCAACAGTCAGTACAGCTATATAACAGCTAAGACATAGTAAGAGGACAGAAAGTGGGTCAAATATCACCTCTCTTTAGTGTCAAATGGAAATACAGTGTCAATGGACAAAGTTAGCATAAATGAAAATAAACCAAAATCAATAGACACTAAAAAAAAAACAAACCAGTATGAAGTGCCTCTTGCAGAAACCAGATAAAAGATGCCTTTATGTCTTACTTAAAAGACTGAGTCATGGTTTTTTTTTTTTACTTAGAGATATTTACAGAAAAACAGTAATTGATACCCTCTTTCTAATGTAGTAACATGACTTCTTAAAATAAAGTGCTGTAATTTAGACCTAAAAGTTCAACTTAAAAGACAGTAATCTTATTGGAAAAGTAGTAACACTATCATCATTTTTTATGACCTAAAGTTGAAAATAAGGTCAAAATAAGGCTATTTTTGCAATTATTAAAAAAAAAAATAAAATAAACCTCTTAAAAATCAATTGCATGTAGCTGTGACTTGCTATGAATCAAAATTGTGTTTCTGTAGTGATTTGCTTCATTGCATTTATTAAAAAAAAAAAAAGTATTTTTGAATGTGGAGAAACTGTGTTTTCTAGAATCAGCAAAGGCTGAAAAACAGGATTTAAGCCAGAAAGGGGGCAAGGAAGGACGCCACGTAAGAGTAGCCTACTGACATGCTGTATGCTAGCTTTGACCCTCTAAATGGAAGGGATCACAGCTTTTGGGAGATAAAATAGTCAGTTACTGCAGGAATGCCAATCTCACAGTTAGAAACACCATAGTATTTTTTCTAGAAAGAAAAAAGTTCTAATTCTCATGCAGATACACACTAGTCCAGAACAGTTATATCTTTAAACACTCTGTGCTCTTGATAAATGAATCTCTCTTAATTACAGTGACCTACTCACCATCTTCTGTAATAGTACCACTGCTGGAACCATTGCTCTTGGCCTGTCTGTGAGAAGAAGAGAGAGAGGACTCTGTGTTGTGAACCTTAGGAGACGGGGAGGGTGATGGGGAAGGTGTGAGAGTTGGTGAAGTGCTTTTAGATGTAGATGAAGTCCCAGATGGAGGTCTTTTGTTCATCTCTGGTTTTTGCTGTAGTTAATGATACAATCATTTCAGTTTATAAAAAAAGTGTTTACCTATATATGATGCTTCAATATTATTTAAGTTGCATATAATTTCTGCAGAGCATGCAGTCAAAACTAGAAGCTTCTGTGTAATTCATATTGAAATAACTGAAGCAATACTGATTTATCCCAGGTGAGAGTCTGTCCCCTCAAATTCATCAAGAAAAATACATTTATTCATTTATTCATGCAGTAATTTTGAATAAAATTGTTTCTATAATTTTATATACAAGCACTACAATTTTTTTTTATAAAAGCTGAAATTAACTCTGAAAACAGGTATTTTCATTCAGAGAATTAAATAAATCAAACCTCAATTAAAGCTTTTTGAAGTATATCAGATGCTTATTTATTTAAAGTAGCACTTCATGCTGGATTAAGCAGAAATATGTAGCAAACAAACTAAGTTTCGGATGCATTTAAACCCCTTGCTGCACCAGAAATTTCCAGTCAATCCTTAAACTTGTTATTACCTAACATGAGTCAAATGATTCAAATTTATTAAATAGTTTGCAAATACTGAATCCATTTAGAGGCATGGAAAACAAGAAAATAGACAAATTAAAATGAAGAATATGCATCTATGCCTATCAGTCTTTTCCAAAACAAGTTAATGTACACCATCTCCTAAATTCCTCAAGCTATGTATGACTTCACATATTTTGATGTTTGCATTATATGACCTAAAAAGAAGCCTTAGGTGATTTTCTCCTGTATTCAGAGTTTAACTTAAAATACCTTTTGTCAGTCACACTGCTACAAGAAAAACATAAGAAAAAATTTGAGCCAAGACGGGAGAATGACAGTGGCTCCTGTCTCTCTGCAACTTTGCGACTGTGCTATGGCATAAATGGAACTTTTCTAGTTAATGAAAGAGATGCAGATTAAAAAGACAGAACTGATTTAAGTGGTAACATTCTTCCATTACTCTGTCTTATGCCGGAACGTACTACCTCCTTAGTCCTGCACTGAACTGATTAGAAGACACAAGTTTGAGAGGTCCCTGAAGAGCACTGTAAGCTCTTTTCTTTTTTTGTCCCAGATTTCCCTGTACTGTTATTGGCCAATTGTTTTTCAGAACGGTCTTCCCTCTCTAGTGCATTGTCTGCATTTATGTAAACTATATCACCCTGTAAACTGTTACTTAGTTTTAACTTTCCTTTTTTTAAAGCTTGTACAATCCCACCCCTCATGGATAACTTTTGCAAAATTGATCAGTGTAACATCTCTGCATTTAAGGTCAGCTATTTCCATGTTTAGACAGCACACTCTTAATCGGAGGGCACAAGCATTTCCACAATGGATATGGACATTAAATTTTCAGCATATATGTTGTTGATTACAACAACAAAGCAGGCTGTTTAAGCTTTTGCAGCCAATGTGGATCCATACCTGATTCTGTACTCTCAACAAACACTGATGTCCCAAAAATTGCCTCAGACATGTGATACATGAACATCTATAGTGAAATCCACACTGATTACATGTTTTGTTATTTGTAAATAGACTGAAATTCATCTCAACATCTAAGCAAAGAGCACTGAAAGAACTGTTGCCTTTTCAACATACTGGCATTATTTTTATTTAAAAATCTTTTCAACGGTATGATGAACTGAGTTCCTAGAAATGATCTGTAGGGCACTGCACGTCACTACTTCTTTATCCCCTAATGTCTTTCACTGTGCGTGGCAATAATAGTTAAACTTTGCAGTGGCAGCACTGTTGTAACAACAGGCCCCAAGATCTGCAGGCCAAAGCTCACAGGCACAGGTATTATCTCTTAATAGGCTAACTAATGTAAGTGGAGAAAAATAAGATTTTTCTGGGCACAGAAGCAGCTCTTTTTAAAATTATTTCCAAGATAAAAACAAGCTGAGAGGCACTGCTGAGAGTTTAATTAGAGATATATTGGTCAGACCACCTCTAAAAGAAAACGTATTTGGTAGCTGTTCAGTAGAGGGGACTTCAATGAGAGAAGAGAATAATAAAGTGGCTTTGTCTACAGAAGAGAAAGAGACAGATCATTTATAACCCAGGGAGCAGTTACATGGGAAAGAAAGGGAGAAAAGATTATCATGTGCCAAAGAAGCAGTATGAGTCAGTCCATAGCTTTTGGGGGTCCAGCAGTTAAAAATTTTAGCTCCCAATCTCATCTTTGAAAACCAACCTGTAGTTGCTTCTGAATCAGGACTGACAGATCAAAAACAAAGTGATTATTCAACGAAACTGTTTTGACATTGATAGCTTCTTTTCCTGATTTTTGTTCTCCAGAAATTTCAATTAAATCACTGAACTGAATAACTCTGTAGCTTCATTTATTATTGATATTTAGTGATTAAATATATACATTGTTTAGTGTTGCCATATAAGACATCACAGAACGAGACAGCAAATGTAGTGATTTTATACTCTGGCCATTTTTGTTTCTTTGGGCAGAACTTCAAGAAGAATCTCATGACAAGATGCAAGGAAAACAAAACAAAGCAAAACAAGCTGTTTGGAGATTACACAAGCAAGAAGTTGAAAAATTTTGCTCTTGGTCATGTATTCTAACATTTTCAGAATACCAGACCTTAGAACTAAAACCCCAAATTATGTGCTTTCTTTCTCTTGCTCTCTGAAACGTAATGTTCTTCTGTGTGAAAAAAAAACATACATTTCACAACAGTGTATGACATCATCTGTTATGATGTTGCTTTCCAACTTGTGTCTGTGCAGATTTTTAAGATTTAAAATCTTAATCCTCAAAAATTTTGTACAAAGCAGTTGTTGACTCAAAGTACACACACAAAAAAGGTCAGCTCATAAGGGTAAAGCTATTCCAGGAAATTGATAGGTAAATCAGATTATATGGCCTCCGCTCAAGAGCAAAACCTGACGTTGGTGATGACAACTTAAAGTTCATACTGTTTAAAAATAATACCTTCTGAAGCAGACTGGATCCACACATATTATTGTGGTTGGCAGATCCTGGTACAAATTGTCTCATATTCTGCACTCAGGTTGTACTTTCAGGGGGAAACTAGCTAAACCACTTTAGAGTACAGCCCAGGTGTCCCTGCCCATGCAGGGCAGTTGAAATTAGATGATCTTTAAGGTCCCTTCCAACCCAAACCATTCAATGATTCTAAGAATAACTAACTTTAAAAACTGGACTCAATCAAAATACTCAATACTTAGAAAGAAATAATGAGAAGCCAAAGTAACAGTGCAGACCTACCCTAAGATCAGGTATTAATTTACTGTTTTTAAAACAGAATGAAATAAATAATAAAGCAAAACCATGTTTTATTATTAGGTCTGACCTTTTGTAGACTTGTAATTAATAAACAGGTTTGTGGAGATGAAAAGTTTCCACAACTGTAACAGGTGTTCTTTCATTTCAGGCTGTACAATGTCATGCAGTTATATTTAGCTACCATCCATGACTGAGAGATGACCTATTAAAATTAGCCAGTTTGGAAGTACAAAAATTCACATTTATCTTTACCTTTACAACATGTCCATTGCCAACAATTTGAGCACAGTGCAAATCAGACAGAGTGGATGAAGGAGTTGACTGGACTGGACTATGCTGTTGGCTGGGTTTCTGTTCAGGTAAGCCTGCTGCTTTTCTTCTTTGGGCTGCAATCTGAGACAAAACATTATCTGCACTGCCACCTAAGAAAAAATAAATAAAAACAGAGTCAAGGAAACCATAATTTTAAAATATTTGTTAATTCCCAATTCACCTCTCTCCACCACTCACTTTCTTTTAAAAACTGACTGGATGAATTGTAAGCTTCAGACCCATTCCGCAGCCTTCAGGAAAGGGAACAAAAATCAAGCACAGAAGAGAGAAGCCAGCCTTCTATAGACACACAGAGCTGTCTTTCATACTCTTGCATACAGGTTTCACAAGCTGCTTCACCATATTGTCTTTACAACTGCCAGATACAATGCTTTAAGCTTTGTTTTTAACTGAAACCTGATTTTTATTTTAAACAAAAAGCAAGCAACATGGGTAAGACAGCTCTATGCAATGTATGTTGCCATGAGCAAGCATCCACCTGATCCATCACGGATGGACTCAATAAAATCAACATGTTTTTTTCTGAGACAGGGGCTAACCTTTCAGACTTCTATAACAGATGTGAGGCTTTTGTTCCCTTATGGAGGTGTCCAAAGTCCAAACCTATTACAACAGAATTTACAGAAGTTTTGCTTTTACAACAGTAGAAGCCCTCAGAAAAGGTTTAATATCTTCTACCATCATCACAAACGCTATTTTTTTCCCTGAACCAGATACAAATGAACTTATTAAAAATAAAAGCAGCACAGTACCTGATCTGTTATGCAGTTCACCTCCATGTCTGTTAATTCCTGCAATGTTATTTGATCCACCAGACGAATGGGGAGAATGGTTGAAGTTGTTGGAATTTGAAGGAGATGCAGGTCTTCTTGCAAATGTTGGTAATTTGACTGGTCTAGTACCTTTGCTAACAGATGTCTGGAAAATAAAAAGAAAAATAATTTTTATCTTTCTTGTTTGACCAAAATAAAGATGAAACTTCAATTATTTATTTATCATAGTTCTGGAAATTCCATTGAAGAACAAAAGCAATATCAGAAATAAGATTATTTTACATATACAAATATACTGAATATATATTTATCTAAATATATATATATTCAACAAAATAAATGCCACCCTAATGAAGGCATTAATTCTCTTTAACCCTTGGCCAACACAAAATGAGCACATACGATGCACCTGAGATATGCTACACACAGAGGATATGATGTATGGTTCCCCACAGCAGTGGGCTAAAAAAAAAAAAAAAAAAAAAAAAAAAGAAAAAATCATATGTGAAGCTTCTTTCCTGCAGGATCATGGTTTTGTCTCTCCCATCTTGCAAAACAGCTACCACATACTTCTCATCCATCATATCCCTGTTTCTTACTAGTTAAGCTCCAACAAGTGATATGAACTTTCTTTCCTTCACTTACATTTTCATATCCCCTCTAATCTAAACATCTACCTGCATCATTTTGTTGACTATTGTTAACTGATAACCTAGCTATACAGTAGCCAAACTCTCAGCCACATCCACATCCTCCTTCAGTTCTTTTGCTTTTACACCACTGGCCACTGCCAACCGTCTGACAAACAGCTCTTGCAGCTCAGCTTTTTCATGTTTCTAATCCTGTTGCTCAAATCACTTATTCCAAATCTAATTTACTAGGTTTCTCTCCTTCTGTTTATTCTCTTTAACAAAACCCTTATTTCCCCACAGAAGGATCGACAGCTAGTTCTCCCCTATTTCCCACTGCTCCCCACATTATATACGGGTGCCAATTATCCACTTCTGTTATTACATTTAACTTTTTTAGGATGATGAACATTGACCTTCCTGTGATCTATCACTTCCCTTCTAATCACCTTATTCTACCTAGATCACCTCTACTGGTATTAAGCTAACTTTCACTTAAAAAAGGAAGAGAGAAAAATATTCCTCCTAAATTGTTTTCATTATCCCATTTCTAGAACCGACATGAAATACAGTTCTGGACTAGTACAGTAAACTCTTCTCTACGGTTGGCTGTCAGAGTTTAAGGTCAGGGGAATAAGCACTTCTCCTTTTATCTCCTACTAACTAGGAAAGCAAAGGTTGTCAAAGTTGTTTTGCTGTCTCAAGACAAATGAGCTATTTTCCTTTTGTTTTGCATTTTCACTGAAAACATTGTAGAATCAGGCAAGCTTCTTCTCTAAAAAATAGAATTTGTTCAGACTTTTTCCCTTTTTACTTGCACTTTAAGGCTTCATGCCTTCAAGCCTACTTGATCACTAGCTGATACAATTTATCTATTATAAATCTTTCAGAATATTATGTCTATTTATGTCTCACTAGTATTTCTTCCCTCCCCCATCAGTTCCTAAAAATTGAGAAACTTTCCCCCTTTTCTTCTGCCCCTAGTCTTCTTCCAAATCAGAGCAGTTTCCACCACACTCCAATGACTCTACCTACTTTGGCAACTAAAATATATAGGTCGAACCAGCAGCCACCTTAGCAGTTTGCAAAAAAATTCATTAGGGCTTGACTTTATCCTGGTTAACAACAAACAAGTCATTTCATTTCATACAAAACTTTTGTTCCATTTATGTTCCTTCCACAGAGCTGGGTATTCTTCTTAAACACCGAGCTTAAAAGGATAAGCCACTACTGAGACACCAGATATAAAGTAATTTCTAATGAAAAACACAGGGTGGCTCACTAGTCAGCATGGCCTGGATATAATGCAGTATTTTTGTACACATTTTGTTTGCCTACTATATCAGAGTTCCCACTGTTGTTAAAATCGTGCTTGATTGCTCTCTGCGGCCAGGCAGTTCTCATCTGTTCAGCTTTGCCATCTTTGCTAAGTCGCGTTCGGTCGGAATTCCAAAGCTCAAAACTGGAGGGCGGTAAGAAAGGCGGTATCACTGCTTTCAGTTTATCGCTGGGCAGCCTGGTAAATGGAGCACTACTTCTCAACTGAGAGGGGAAAACAAAGAAAAGGAAAAAGAAAAGAGCCTCTTCTTAAGAAATATTACTGGGAGCTGATGATGTAGTTTCAAAATTGTATGTTAAATAAAAAGATGGAGACAATGCGTTTTTAAACAAAATAAAATGGAAACAAGACACAAAAGTAGTATTTGTGAAGATGCACTACACATAATAACAGAGAGAATGCAATGGACGTTCTGGCATCCATCAGTACATTCACTCATTTAGCACAATGCATAGTTTATTAAGTGGCACAAACTGTTTCTTCCTTCATTGGGCTGAATTTTGCATCAAAGTGATTTTAACAGGAATGTTAATTAATTTCCAAAGATATAACAAGGTAGTCCTCTCTGTTCCCAGATAGGACACCTGGAAACAGTGAACAACTGTCTGCTCCTGGTGTATGTGTTCTCCAGAAAGGAAAAAAAAACAACTGATTTGGCTCCCTGGAGTTCTGTCAGCCACATCAAAAGTTACCCAGTCTTCTTAAAAAAAGAACATAAAGGATAACCAGCCAAATTTAATGACACCTCCAGGGAGTCAGCATTAAGGGTATTAAAGCTACAGCGTAACAAAAGAAATAGAATACAACCAAACATTCTGAACCAAGTATTTCCTGGTTGCCTCTACTAGTAATATCTCACTTTCACACTGTCAGTTCCTGTCTAGTGACTATAAACAAATGACAGGTCTCTTTTTAATGGTGACTTGTATAGGAGATAAAAAAAAAATAAAAGTGATGGGAGCTGCATGACCTTCTGAATTGGGCTGAACATACCAAGAACACTGTGACATACCATGGTTGTCAATAATTCATCATCCTTTCCTCCTTTTGCAGTGTTTACACCTGAAAAATATATAAATGATATTTTACTGTTTACACGCTCCTACTTTTATTCTCAAAAATAATCTAATTGGTTTTATTCTCATTGCTCCTACTTCTATTGCTTATTGTTTTCAAACATTCAACAGATTTACCCTCAGTAAGCACAAAGAACCAAGATTTCCAGTGACACTGTCATGTACCTAAATTAAAGTTAGGCCAATAGTCTTATTTCACACCACAAACTGTGGGGGTTTTGCGTGGAGAACTTTATAATTTCAGTAGATGTGATTTATGACTTGGGATATTCCAATCTCTTTTTTCTCAGAATTAATATTTGTTTAAATAAATAGGGTTTCATTACACAAATTAGTTTATGAAAGATACTAATAACTTTTGAGTGGCCTGTCTACTGTCCAATTTAATGGTGCTTGCAACAGAACATTAACATGGTTATATCACTGTTTTCCTGCTTAAATGATGCTGCACTGAGTGTACAGCAAGATCAACAGTCAGGAGTACAAACATCTCTCTTTCTATAACTACAAATACATTATGGATCTTTTCAGTTGTATTAAGCTAAATAAAATCTAAATCAATAAATTAAGAATAATCTTGACTATCCCTCAAAAGCTCACTTCCCACAAGACAACTCTGGCTTTACCAGTAGCTTTATTATTTGTGATCCAAGCTGTAGCAGCGTCCAGGTTTCCAGAGGTGTCTGTATCACTCTGTGAAACTGCTTTTATGGTAGAATTTAATGATGGTTCAGGCTCATCAGGAAAAGGCACAAACTGATTGGAAGGAAATCCATGGCGCAATGTCTGAGTCAACTTCAGTTTGCGGAATCGATTGGACATCCTGCTCCACCAGGACTAGATTGATAAGAAGACACAACAATAAAAAAAAAAAAAAAAAAAAGAGGAAAAGAAATGTGCTATTAAGTAATCCTTACAGCAGCAATAAATGTGTCAAGGAGTTTTTGAGATAAACTACAAAAGCAATGTTGAAGTGGCTTGCAATTATCAACAGAATCCTTCACCATAATTTGTATGCATAAGATTAATCTCTTTCTTTTTTTTTTTTTCATCTGTCAAATGCCTTACAATATTTCTCCACACTATCTAGAAAGACAAGGTAGATAAAAGTATTAGGGCAATTTGAATAGGAAATTTTTACAGCTACATCGCAAATAGTTAATCTGCCCATTAACTTCCAATTTCACCGTGTGAAAATTTATATATTCTGCTTTTTAGAGGTGTGCCTGGAAATTTATCCAATCTGTATGAAATCTTCTCAAGATTTTAAAAATCAGTGTCAAACTGGAAGAGTTCTGACAGTATTCCTGTCAGACTAAAGATCCACAATCCATACAATTGCTGCCATACAGATAACTTAAACCCTGCCAGACTAGAAAGACTATAAACTGAAAAAGAGCAAGGCAAGAAAGTATCAGCTGTTAAAACAACACAAACCTTAGGACTACATCTACAACCTCCATTCCATTCACATATGTCGAAACTGTTACATGAAAGGACCATCTTTGCTCAAAATTATCCAAGTAGACTTACACATTTTCACAGGCAGGCGGTGTAAGATGCTTCAAGTATTTAGCAGGGCACTTCTCTAGACTATACAAGATCTACAGGTTATATTAAGAAGACCCAAGCAATCTGTGTTAAAGATTATGTATCCTGTAGGTAAGTAAATTAGATAACTATTTTCTGATTATTTCTTAGTAAAGCTTCTTCTTCCCTTTCTGAAACACTTTTTTTAAAAAAAGAAATAGTCATGTAAAAGTGATGATACTTCATCAAGTCAGCTTTATGTGATAACAATCCAGGTAACACACTCTCCTAGTTTACTTTTTATTCTTAGCCATTCCTTCTCATCATACATATTCCTCTCGCTCCCTGGCATTTAACATTTTTCAAGTGCTTACTGATATATGTGCCTTCACAACTGTCATACAGTAGAAGTAAGTAATATAAACTGTAAACTTATTCCCTGTAAATCAATCCTTCTAGCAGATGATCATTAAAAAGATCTTAAATCTGCACAGAGCATTAGTAATGGATGGAGTTCTTAAGACCTTTGTATATCTTTGGACCCATAACTAATAAATATTGACATTACTTTCAGCAACAAAGACATGATGAAAAAAGGCAACAGAGACAAATAGTTCTGAGAAAGCAATAAAATCCACACAGTTCAGTGTTTATTCACCTTTCAAAAGGAACTGAAAGGGATAAAAAAAATCTATCTAGTTCTAACACAGAGTACAATGAGCTTACAAAAGAAACTGCTTGCCCAATGCAGTTTTGTTCACTGAAGCTAGCTTGCTTCTGTAACAAAGATCACTTCTAAGTTCCTATCATCCTTGTTACTCTTCTTCACAGTGCTTCTGCTTGGATACCATATGCTCACACCACAAACTAACCCAAAATGGATTAAGTACAGCCACTGTTACCATATAACGAACTACTGCTCTCAACAAGAAAGGCATAATAACAGAGAGGTTCATCTTGTCCTCTGGCATGCAGAGTATGGTGGTCTGAGCTCTGGAGTTTCCAGGCTGCTGCTGCTGCAGAAGGTTGTGGCCTCTCCATATACCCTACCACATCACACATACACAGAAGCTGCAGTAAGGGGTTTTAAACTAGACCGAAGCAGACAAGTAATAAAAATGAATTTGTGGTTAAAAATAGTGTCTGTCAAAAGGCTGAAATCTAGTAGCAGTGGGAGAAGGCAACAGTATCAAAGAACAGAAAAATGGTGTTGCCACTTGAGAAATACCTTAGATATCTGAAACAATATTAGAAGGGAAAGAATAAGGTGAAGAACTTGAAATCTCTGCTCTCAAACAACTTTAATCTAAAAAAGAAATTGAATGTGACAATTCACAGTGCTCTAATACTGACATTGAGAGTATAACTTGCTAAAGAAGCCCAGGCAGGAAGAAAAGAGAGGAAATAAAATTTTTGCATATACAAAAGACAACTTTGCTTTTAACTCCACAAAACGGTGAGAAGCAAAGCAGTTAACACTTCCTGTGTGAAAGGCGTAAACAAGGAGATCATGGTTATCCACTACCTAATCAGTAGGTAAAGGTACAAGGGCCTGTATTATACATAAATTACAAATAAAAGAAACACACAACAAAATAAAAAATTTACTTGTTAATGACAAAAGTGATCTAACAGGAGACACAGAAAAGGGTTTTTTTCAAACTTCAAAATCAGCCTACTCTGATCAGATATTTAATATGAATACCATTAACAGGAGGAATGTAAGAATGAATGTGCATTTGCTTAAGAGAGTAAGAACATTTAAATGATCTTACACAAATTAAAACCAGACAAGACTGATTAAAATTACCCTGGAGTAATTATAGGCAACATGACCTCTGAACAAATAATGATTATCTTCAAGATAACAAGAGGATGGCAGAAGTTACAGAAATCAATCAAAAGACAAATATGTCACCACCCTTACCCCAAAGAGGAAATATGAAAAATTACTGAAGAAAAAGCTTAACTTGAAAGGATATAATGGAAAAAACTTCATATGTCACCACAGCTCATAACAGACAGCTGGCATGGGTTTGTTGGGAATTAATCCCACCATATCATTCTCTCCCTGTGATGGAATACTGTTCAAGTGGGCAGAAGGGAGAAAAACTGTAACACAGCTTGACTGTAATAAAGTTTTTATCACTATTCCATGTAACATCCATCGAACAACTGAGGAAAATATGGTTTAAATAAAATTGGTATAGGGAAAGCAGCATAGCCAAAACACATATTAAGAGACAAATCACCACCAATTTCATCTCAAATTGGGAGATCATACTTCGTGGAGTGAAACAGGAGTTCGGAAATGTACATTAACAACAGCAACAATGAAACATATTTTGCACAATCTATGGAAGACATCTATCTGGGTAGTTTCATTAGTACCTTAGATGCTCTAAATTTTAACACTGAAAAATTGACATTATTTAGTAGGGGTCAAGCTGACATGTAAGAGGAAGAAATCAAGTGTACAAATTCAGAAAAGGAAGTAAATGGCAAAGCAGCTGTACTAAGAAAAAAAGAAAATCTGAGTCATAACATGGTACATTGTCTTTCAGGTTACACACATATATATATATATATATATATATACATACATATATATATATATATATATATATATATATGAGAACTATACAGAATACAGTTTCTGATGAAAAAGTGCTTGATTAAGTCTTAACTTGTAAACACTGCAATATTTTGTAGTTGAGACCAAATACGTAAACATGCTACACATCAAAACACTAAATTTCTGTCATACTCATGTGTACATCTTTATCATTGACAAGTCTTATATTTTCTTTAATTTCACTTCATAATCTCTTCTGACACTAACTCAAGCCTCTGCATCATAACACTGCAAGAGCTGCCATGTGACCTGTTGATCTGTATTCCATAAAGCCAAAAGCTGTTCTGACAATCTCCCATGTAAGTAACTGCATTCTTAAATAGGTCCATCTGAATTCATACTGAAGTTGTATCATATCAAATAAAAAAATAATCATATGAAAATAACTACTTGTTGTTTCACAGTTAAAACTGCAACACAGATTTGAGCTAAAGTAAAACTTTAAAAGGTCTTTAAAATTCATGTCACCAATAGCCTGCAAACTATCATGTGTGTTTCCAAGGTCCTGATACTATTTCCACTAAAAATGTGAGATTAGGGACTCGAGAAAATTCTAAGGTATACCATAATCAAAAATTATTCACCTAAATAAACAGCAATGGCAACAACAACAAAATAATCTAATACTTTTCCCTTCTTTTTTTGCAAACACACAGCGTAAGTCACAATATCTTTAAGTGGCATGCACTTTTTCTGACTCTATTTCCTACTGGACTACTGCCAATTTCAAGTAAAGATACAGCATGCCACTGTGAACTGCACACTCTTCCACTTGTCATATTAAAATCTCTGCTATGATCGTCTTAATTTTCAGTGCCAAAAGCCTGTTTCCATTTATGGTTAAAATAAAGTCTACCCTCTGTCCTAGAAGGAGACAAGAGATACAGCCTCTAAAGTCTCTTGGGCTGTCCTGCACAGAGTCCCAGGAGCATTTTCAAGTACATTACCAGAGCTTCAGTTTCCTTCCTACATCATCCTTTCTTCTAGAGTCTACTAAATAGCATAGAAATAAAATAAAAGAACTACCACTGCAATTTCTACATAGAACAACATATAAATAGGCAGCTTCTCACTGTGTTAGGAGACACTAGCCAAATTCCCTTAACACATCCACTCCAATTTCAAAACAATTTTTTTTTTTAAATTAGTAATGAGTATAAAACCAGGCTACTAAAGATGGAGTACATTTGGATTTTAACGGCAAATTTAAAATTAAGATCATAATGGACATTCAGTTCCAAACTTATGAACATAGTATCTTCTACTACTTAATTAGGGGATCTGTTTCTAGGCACTCAAAAGCTTCGATGCAAACTCTTCCTTAAAAGTCTTCCCTTTGCCTTGCTATCTGACCAAAAAAAAAAAAAAAAAAAAAAAAAAAGCTGAACACACGTTATATTTCATAAAACCAGGAAGTGCTGTCAATGAGGAATTCAGACAATACACCCCCAAAAAACCTGTTATGCATTAGATCCAAAGTACTCCTTAGCAATTACTTTCACTGCTTCATACATTACAGGAAACAATCACTGGTTATTTATTAAGAGTGAATATATTTACCTTTAGACCTCCTTTGTCATCTGGCAACATTGGGACATTTAAGGATTGCCTACTTCTAGAACAAGGCAAAGATGATCTGTTGTTCAGTTTATTCTTGTCTTTGTCTACTTGCATGCATGCTGATGCCAGTAACCGTACAAGCTCTGTGTCTAAAAGAAAACAAATTAAGGTAGTGTTTATTCTGTTTTGCTTTCCCAAATTATGACTGATAGGCTGACACTTTTCCTGTAAATCCCACATAAGCAGTAATTGATCCACCTCTCAAACACAAAGCCGATGAACCCCCAAAACCTCCTCTCTTGACCTAGGGTTTCCCATGCCTTTTTCCCCGCACAGTGGGCTGCAGCGTTACCATCACCTCTCTAAACATATTTATCAAAATGAATGAGCATGCTATTCAGTTGGAATCAGTCATGTGTGACCAAGTGAACTGCCTCCTCTCGCACTTTGCTGAAGAACAACATTGTGATGCTCCCTTTTCTCACCTGACACAGAAGAGAGTAGAGAAAAATGAATATTCTTTCTTCAAGCGTAGGTTGCAGAAAAGAAGCTTGAAATTAAATCCCAAAGAGAAAGGAGATGTTCAGCCTGGACAATGAAGGGGCTGAAAAGACATGGGAAGAAAAAAGGTGGACAAAAAAAAGTAAGGAAAAAAGAAATGAAGAAAAAAGAATGAGCATGAGATGAGGACAGGAAAGCAAAAAAAAATAATAAAATATGTAAATCTGTATTTTATACAGAAGTCAGGAAACACTTTCAGAAGGGCAGACAGAACTGACCTATATATATACTGACAGGTAACAAGATAAACTACTCTGTCATACAAAAAATTAGTTATGAAATAATTCACTGTATTTATTTTTTAAATTTCATACTATTAGTGATCTACTTTTGACAAAGTAAAGGTCATCTGCTAGTGACCAAAACCACCACAGTAAGTAAATACAGAGAAAATAAACATTAATTCCATCAGCAGTAGAGTTTTTTGGCTTCAGATAAACCAATTCAGGTACCAGGCAAGGTTAGCAATAACAAATTATATAGGCTAAACAAACCACAACAAAAACTAAATGTGTTTCATTGAAGTCTCCCCAAAATGTGCTGCCTTTTTCTAAAGCACTCCCATAAAAGCAACCTGAACCCTGAAGTGTGATTTACTCTTAGCCTTTACAGACCTAGTGGGAGGTTCAGCCAGGAGTCACTAGTTTTGTTCTGATTGCACTCTTTGTCCTGTCCCTTTACTGCTGTTTACTGAGCAGAAATTTCTAGCTCCAGTTCATAGCTCTGTGCTAACGACACTACAGAATACCTGGGATACCACAGTCAAATGCCAGTGAACTGGCTCTGGTGACACAAAAACCACATTTTGGAGCATCTTCAAAAACAAAGGCCAGAGGAATGCACAAAATCCATTATCCCATAAATGTATATAATCATCTAAACAAATAACTCACACCCCACCATCTTCAGGCAGTATCCTTTCTTGGTCCAGTGCAGCCTGGACCTCAGAGGATACTTCCTAGCAACTTTAATGTATTTTCTAGATTGGAAGGGATGTTCATCTGTTTATGTTGTACATTTCCTCCCTGCTCTTTGAAATAACGTACCTGGATCATTTAGCAGCATTATCAGGTCAAAAGCTGTGTATCCGTTTTTTGCACGAAGATTGACATCAGCTCCTTGATTTAACAAATACTTTACAACATCTTTGTTTCTTTAAGGGAAGAAAAAAATGCATTGCTCATGTTATTTTTTTTTTTAATAAGAAATCCCTAATACTCCATTTTCATCCTTTTATACCACTGCTCCTCAAACAGAAATCAGGTTTACCTTTTCTATACCTCACCAAGTCTAAAATTTGTTCACAAGCTATTCAGAAGCTCTCGTCATTCCTTCGTCAGTCACTGTTTACTCACTATGAATTACACTAATCAACATTCAAAAAGTCAGCCTAAAAAAACCTAATCTGAACAGTCAGTTTCTTAAACTGACCCTTTTGAATTGACTCTGGACTTGTTGCCAAACACCTTTCCAGTGACAAGCCATTAATGCCTAGAGCAAAAAAGCAGGTGGAAAGACAAAGGTCAGTCCAGTTGTCACCATGTGCCATCACTTAATACTTCAACACAACTTCATATTCAGAACAGGTAAGAAACCATGTACAGAAAAGCCAAACTGACTGAAGATAATTTATAAACTCCAAACAGTACTTCACTTTAATTAGAGATATAAATTATACAATTAAGAAGGCACATTATCACTTGAGCTGTTTAAAATGCAAAGCCAATCAGAATTAAGAGATGACCAACACAAATACTTTCCAACAAAAGCTCATAAAAGCTACTTGCATGCAAAGAACTCACCATCCCATTCCCATTAGCCTCTTTCCCCTCTCATACACCTGAATAAATAAGCAGGCCTTGCCTCATGAGTTAAAAACAATACTGTAATTCAGTCTGCAAAACAAGCAAACAGGCAACAAAGCTAGGGAAAATGTATTTAATACAAAACTCCTCTTGAGCAGAGACTGACCTTTTATAAAAACAGACATGCATAGGCAACACAGAGCAAAAATGTTCTTAAGTAGCAATAGGTGACTGCAAACTCTAATATTATCCCAACCCCTCCAGAGCATTACTTCTTACTGTACAGAGCTAGTTTTCACTTCTGAACTCACTCCAGATAAAATAAACCTAAAATGGAGGAGGAAGGTTCCTTCTCCCTTCTAACAAAATTTCTGCTTATCCTCACCACAGCTCCTCTGCATACTTCCCACCACTTTTCCTCTCTTCCTTAAAATTGTGTCATCCCCCCCTCCTGCTTTCCAGTCCTGCACCTTGAAGGCACAGAGACACAATCCTTTAGTGCTCCTGGCTCACACAGACCTTGCTTGCTCCCTCCTTTAAACCAGAAACCCTTCATACCACTGTTACTTCTGAGAAAGTTGAGGCTGTGCAGAGATTTCCAGTTAGAAAAATTCACAACTGGCCCATGCTGACCAAGGAAAAAGGCTAGAACACAAGTACAGAGTTACTCAGTTTTACACAGGGTTCTTGTACATTTTGAGCATTTTGGTACAACACAATTTGACTACGGTAGCTCATGTAACATCCATCTATAAGAGAGGAAGAAAGGAGGATCCAGGAAACTATAGACCTGTCAGCCTGACCTCAGTACCAGGGAAGGTCACGGAGCAGGTCATCCTGAGTTCCATTAAAAGTCATATAATGGACAACCAGATAATCAGGCCTAGTCAGCATGGGTTTATGAAAGGCAGGTCCTGCCTGAGAAACCTGATCTACTATGACAAGATGACCCGACTACTGGATGAGGAAAAAGCTGTGGATATTGTCTACTTGGATTTTCAAAAAGCATTTGACACAGTTCCCCATAAAATTCTCACAGAAAAACTGGCTGCCCGTGGCCTGGATGAGTGAACAGTCTGCTGACTCAAGCACTGGCTGGATGGATGGTCCCAGAGAGTGGTGGTCAAGGACCTAAATCCAGCTGGTGGCCGGTCACAAGTGGTGTTCCTCAGGGCTTGTCGTCGGGACCATTTCTGTTCAACATCTTTATTGATGATCTTGATAAGGACATAGAGCGTATCAACAGTAAGTTCGCAGATGACACCAAGTTAAGCGGGAATGTCGATCGGCATGAAGATAGGGAGGCACTACAGAGAGACTTGGATCTGTGGGCCAACGCTAACGGGATGGGCTTCAACAGGGACAAGTGCCAGGTCCTGCACTTGGGCCACAACAACCCCCTGCATGGCTACAGGCTTGGGGAGATGTGGCTGGAGCTGTCTGGAAGAGAAGGATCTGGGGGTTCTAACTGACAAGCAGCTGAACATGAGCCAGCAGTGTGCCCAGGTGGACAAGAAAGCCAACGGCATCCTGGCTTGTATTAGAAATAATGGGACCAGCTGAAGCAGGGAGGTGATAGTCCCCCTGTACTCTGCACTGGTGAGGCCACACCTGGAGTACTGTGTCCAGTTTTGGGCACCTCAATAGGAGAGAGATCTCGAGGTGCTGGAGCGAGTGCAGAGGAGGGCAACGAAGCTGGTGAAGGGCCTGGAGAACAGATCCTGTGAGGAGAGATTGAGGGAGCGGGGACTGTTCAGTTTGAGGAGGAGAAGGCTGAGGGGAGACCTCATCACTCTCCACAGCTACCTGAAAGGACATTGTGGAGAGGTTGGTGCTGGTCTCTTCCTACAGGTGATTAGTGACAGAACAAGGGGGAACGGCTTTAAACTGCAACAGGGGAGGTTTAGACTGGACATTAGGAAAAAAATTTTCACAGAAAAAGTGTTGAGACAGTGGAACAGGCTGTCCAGGGAGGTGGTGGAGTCACCATTCCTGGATGTGTTTGAGGGTTGTTTGGATGAAATGTTGGGGAATATGGTGTAGGGGAGAACTTTGTAGAGTAGGGCTGATGGTTGGACTCGATGATCCCAAGGGTCTTTTCCAACCTGAATGATTCTGTGACCAATCACTAACACCCACACTACCAGTTACTAATCATAGTAAAACTTTACAAAGCAACTGTATTCCTGCAGCATTCTTGCTGCTCATCTATTGATCCAGATGTCCCTGGAGTCAGGCTTACTAACGTTATTTATCTATGATGACAGAAAACATTGGGAGTGTTTTACTGATGCATTAGAGAGGCTATGATGCTGGTGTTATCCTGGTTGACTAAGGGTTATCTTTTATCCTTTATGGACAGCTCTAAATTTCCAATAAGCCAAGTCCTTATTTCCAGGGCTGGGATATTCTTCTGGTCCTATCACTGAGCTGGTGTCCTTTACTTTGTTTTACTTAAGCATGAACAATACCAAAGTCTCCAGTAAAATGCCACTACCTCAAATGTTAAGTGTCTTTAACAAAATTAATACAATTTCATACTATAAAGTTTGACTGATTGATGTAATAGGGAAGAGGATCTTTATAACACAGTCCTCCAGGAAACTGAAAGGGCAGTATCTGAACACATACAGCACTCAGCTGTGCTTTGTACTCCCACAAACAAGAGGAGTGCTTGAGTACTGTCAAGAGGACATGCCACCAGCCCTGCACATCACTTTCTGCTGACTGTTTCTACTGCAGCTGTGTGCTGCGGTTGCTGCTGCTAAGCAAAATGGCTGCAGCAGAAAAACCTACCTTCAAGCTCTTCTGTGAAATGCCTATCACTGCTAACAGTACTGCACTGGTGAGGAAGCAGATCATCTCATCTTCTGTAGGTCCCAGGAACTACTTCAGAAAATTTTCACAAAGCAATGACAACTTGACCTCCTATTTTTCCCCTATGTTGCACTTTCACGGTACAGTGAGATCTGCTGACTGAAAATAGAAGCTGGAGCAGAATATCTGCATTTGTACAACTAATGTGAGCATTATCAGGCAGTGAAGTGAATCTTAACCTTGCTGAGGGCCTTGTCTACAATGGAGAAAAGTTCATGTTCCTAAACAGAATATCCTGTATTCAGACAATGCCAAGTATGTGACACAGATCACATGTGAAGTAACAAGCCAATTTCTGGGGCCTGACTCTTAAGTGCCTACCTGCATTTATGAAGTAGCTTTAGAGAAAATGACAATCAGTTCTCCAGTGGGTGCATTTCAGAAAACTCAAACTAAAGGCTGAAGAGAGGAACATAAGAATAGTTTTAAAACTGGAAGATATGGCACATAGAAGGGTGATTTGCCTTGTAGTTTCACAACTTGATCTAGGCCTACAGCCTTGACAGGAGGTGATACTATCTTAAAAAACACTAAAAAACATCAAAGAATGAAACTTGAAATCTGCACCAAAGTTCCTAGTGCCTGCCTGAAACATTATGTTCCCAGCACTTACTGAGCAAGATTCAAGTTCCCAAATGTGCCACTCCTTCAGAAAACCAAATGGCATTCAGGTTCATCTGCTCTGAAAAGCTGAGGGTAGTGCAAGAGTAATGGAAAAATGTGATCACAGGTCTCCCAATTTCCTGTAAGACCTCTTTGATTCCAGAGTCAGTATCAAAAACATTTCTTTTATTGGTATGTAAGAAGAATGAAACTTCTTTACTGCTAAACCCAAAGAGAACATCTATCTTACCCGTGGTATGTGGCCTGCATTAGTGCCGTCCAGCCATGAACATTATCCTGTTTGTCAATATCAGCATTTTTCTCAACAAGGAGCTGAACAAGAGGCAGCTGTCCAGTTACAGCCGCAATCATTAAGGGAGATGCACCGTCAACATTGGTAATATTGACCTGACTTGAGTCTTCGTCAACAATCTCTTTAACCAGCTGAAAGTTTCCTGCAAAACAGTGATAAAACATAATCTACATGAGCAACAGAGAACTGCTAAGCCACTGAATCTGTATTTTGATTTGCTGAAATTGGTCTACATTTAGTGGAAATAAGAAATAAAGTACAAGAGCAACTGCCACACTAAAGCTAACTATTTGTGCTGATTTGTCTTTTAGATAATCAGTACATCTTCCCAGGCTACATAAAATTGTGGTATACACATGAGACACTGTTGTGCCTCATTTTCCCAACCTGTACACTTACAATACAACCGAATTACACATTTCTGAAATTAACAACTAAGCTATAAAAGGCTGTATAAACTGCAGTGCATCCCACATGTGAAGACACAAGTAGGGTATATTTCTATTAAATTGTCGTAAGATCACGTCATGCAAGGAAAATTGATGATGCTGAGACACCATGATTTGTCCTTAAGCAGGATGAAGATCCTTATTCCATTTCCACAGGCTGAAAACACAGAAAGCAACAATTCTAGAATCAAAGAGAGTGGGTACAAAGGCACGCTGAAAGGTGGTGGACAGGCTATCCCTTGCCTTAATCAGGTAGAACAATGATCTGTATCACATTGGCCCATAAGTTCTTCTTGCAAGGGTGGTTCACTGATTCTAAAAACCTCTATCAACACAATTCCACAACCTCCCAAGAAACCAATATATTCCAGTCCTCAATTTTCTTATATTCAGAGAGTTTGGAATTTTTTAATTCTGCCTCCAATACTTAAACTAAATCGCCAATATAAAACTTCCCTATTTCTTGCTCAAGACTACTGCATTATTCCTGTCATCTTTCTAGTTCTTTAAAAGTTAACCTAATGTTCACATAAAGAGACAGGTAGTCACTGAGTTCCTGTCTAGATTACGAAAAGCAGTACAAAACATGCTACTGAAAATATTTTAAGCAGGGTGGGTTTATTTCTAAATCTTAACAGAAGTAGGAACAAGCACTATGTACAAAACAGTCAGGGTTATCTTGAGTGCTTAAGCTCACCCATCTCTTTTTTGATGGCACATGGCAGACAAAAGTAAGGAAGTTAAGAGGAAAAAGAGATCTCTGTGACTAAACATGTACCACCATAGGAACAGAGGCAAGAAGCAGCAAATCATCAATTGCCATGCCAATGGAAAAATTCTCACCTTTAAAAAAAACTTCAGATGGTAAACTGCTTCATGACATGGGCTGCCTTCAACTCAATCATAGGTATGAACATTTTCCTTGGAAAAACAATCAGAATCCCAGAATCCCTGCAGGCACTTGAATGCACTCACTGAAATGAACACCCACCCATGCCACTCAACTAATTTACTGGAACAGCAAAGATACAAAAGCACAGAACTACTTTTTTTATGTCCCAATTTAGTAAAAGACAGCAGATAGCTTTTTTAACACGGTCCCGCATCACAGACTTTGTTAAATAGAAACTGTGGAACCTACAGAGACTCCAGGATTGACTTTGAACTCTGGCCTGGACACTTCCTAACCCAGTGAGCTTTTTTTTTTTTTCCACAGTGCTGCCATCCATAGCCAAGTATTTCAGAAAAAAAAAAATAGTGTGCTGACCAGTATTCATTTGGCTTCCTCCCTAAGCCTCCTTCCGACCCAGCACTAATGTTTATAGATCTCAAACTAAAAGTCACAGGGGTACAAGAAGAGCAGCTGAACTCTCTAAAATCTAATAGACATGAGGCTTTTCCAGGAACAGGTTTTTGTGGCTTAAGTGTGAAGAGCTGACATTTAAGAGAGTGCTCCTGATACTGCTATCTATCACCTCTTTCTTCCCCACTATTATGTCTGCCCATTTCTAGTTTTGGTAGTCTGAAAAGCCATAAAGTTCCTGAGAAAGTGACTTACAATGGTTAACTGAAAAGCAACTGTGAAATTGTTGTATCAAATCCAGGATGAGATCTGAACACTAAGGCCAGGCTTGACCACTCTGAACACACCTCTAACTTTTCAGTAGGAATGCAGCCACAATAAAACTTGGAAGACAATTGTTGATTTAAAGATGCACTGCTGAAACCCATTTGAACAGATGCTCAGAAAAAAATGGCATTTTCCTTCACAAAAATCACTCATTTGCAAATAATAATAGTAATAATAAAAAAGATCTAAAAATCCAACAGAAACTGTGAAAGTTGCTAACTCAGAGCTCTCTTCAGGATGCAGCTCCCTGTTGAAAGCAAGGTGAACCATAACCATACCAAAGGCTTCATGATTATGTTAGTCTGGAGTGGGTACATGGACAAAAAAGTCGGAATGTGAAGGAGGTGTGCTCAACTCTAAAGCTTACTTATTCTGTATGCACGTACCACAATCAGGAGGGGGAGATCCAACTTTCAGTGTGCTATGATCAGATTTTCTGTGCCACAGACATAGAAAGTACAGCACCAGTAAGCATTATTAGGCTCACTGCATGTGCAAGGATGTACTACCAATGTTTCCTCACTGTCTGGGGCATTTTAGTCCCAAGTAAGGGCAGACTCACTGGATAAGAGACCCCCCCCTTCGGTCTCATGGGACACCTCTCATGGCTTCACTAGATGTAAGATTTAATCTCACATAGGAATGACATCTTCCAATATTTGGCAAAAAAAACCCCAAACAACAGATGCATCAGGAACTTTACTACCAAGTGACTGGTTTTTTTTTTTCTGACTGCTTATATTCTAATACTGCTGGCAATACGCTAAACATGCTATCGTGCTATCAAATAGCTGAAAACATTTAAATGGCAAAATACCAACTATAAGAGCAGGAATCGGGTAAGATTCAAATACAGAATCTCTCTAGCCTGTCAAAGAGATTGGAAACAGTGCAGAGTTTTCTGACCTGCAACAGTACCAGGAATTTCAGCAGGTACTGAATAGTCTTGTTTCCCATGCCAAAGCCATCAGATAGTAAGCCTCAGGCCAAACCCTTCCCTTCAGCGCTTTTTCCTATGCTGGAAGATCCAGGAAAAAAGGTAACCAGAAAGCAGCCTGCCATCCACTGGAGTGCAACACATCACAACCTGAATCAAATTTAAGTCAACAAGATGGCACTGGGCTCTTTCTGTTTGCCATGGAACAGTTTTACCAGTTGTGTGCTCATGAAAGCCACTCTTGCTCATGAGAGAATAGGCAAAATCTGAAACACTCTTTCCTTGAAAGAACTTTAAAGTACAATACTCGTATTTTTTGCACCAATTAGTAATTTTGTTTTCATATTTCAAGTTTATGAGGAAGGACAAAACCATCGTATTAAAGGTAGCATGGTCTTGGAATAACTGGAACTACTATAACAGATCATTTTGGCATGAAGAGCACAACCAAGAGTACATAAAGATCTTCTCATATTGGAACGTGAAGAAAAATAAACTACAGAAATAAATGTATTTTTTAAATTAAAAGAAAAATAAGAAAAAAACCCAAAAGTCACATATAAAACCAGAATATGTCTTGGATTCCCATATGTTAGCAAACAAACATGCTCTGAAATTACAAGAACCAGAAGTGATGAAAAAATCCTGTTATGTACTTACCTAATTTCAAAGCGTGAAAGACATCAGGTTGCCTCTTTTCTGTATCTGGAAGAAATATAAATATTTCTCTTAGAAATCATAAAAAAAAAAAAAACCCTAGTAATTTTTTATAGCAAAAACTATTTTCAAATTTACATAAGGATATTATATAACATATGTTTAGACACACATTTAATAAGAACAAAGAATATACTGATAACTTTTTTATTCCCTTTGGGAAGAATGACTCACCTGTATGGTTCTCTGTACAGAGCTAACACTGCAAACTAGAATAAAGCACCAATACAGGCTTTTGACTTTCAATTTCCATTCTCTATCAGGAAATTGTATTTGGAAACTTCTGTGTTTCCTTCCTGGAAGACTAAAATATCAATTAAAGAAACTCAGTATAGTTCTGTGGTCTGGTGTAATCCTCCACACAACAGCAAACACTCAAATCGCACAGGATTATTTTGAAAAATGACTCAAAAGGAGTTTTATAAACTGTCCGACTTTTATTTCCTCTTGAATATTGCCAGGTTAATTTGTGACGGTCACAAAATAATAGTGACGATTTAAGTACACAGCTTGCGATTTCTGCCTTAATCCTTTAGCTCCCAAATCACCATTCCCATAATAAAACCTGTAATTATTAGAGATTTTTAGTATTTTGAGTGAAGGATCATTCCTTTGACATGCCTTCAATTGCTTTGAAACTGCTGACACTAGGTAAGATGAGGAAAAATAGTGACGTATTTTGCACCTTCCACTCAAGCCTGAAAAATATATCCTCATCCATCTTCCAAAGCCTCACTGACACTACAGAATCAATTGGGTAAAAAGATTTCAAGGAAGACAAGGTGTTGAGATTTCCTGAGCCAAATTCTGCTGGTTTTAGACTACAGAAAAATTAGTTGTCATAGCTGGACTCCAAAGGAAGCAATTTGAAAATGCTGAACAAAAGCAATTGATGGAAAATCCAAAAAACCATGAGAAACTCTTATTTTAACAGTGGTAAGAAAAGCAGTGGGTTTTACGTTTTGTCCTGGTTCAGAAACTGCTCTTATAGAAGGAACTGCGCATGAGCTCACCAGAGGAAAACAGATTTCAGACTAGTTTAGGAAGGGACCAGATGACATACTTGGCATGTGAAAAGCCTGGAAGAGAGGCAGCCTCGGGGAGCAGGAGACCAAAGGGAGATGGCAGAAGGAAGGACTGCTATCCAGGTAAGCCAAAACAAAGATACAGACAGAACACCAGCAACACCCATGCCATTTCGGGTAGTCCTGAATTTGCTACTGAAAACAGCCCTGAGAAGAGAGTTGTTTTCTTTTGGGAGGCAATTCACCCTATCTATGGCAACCAATCAGAAGACAAGTTCCTTTTCTGCTGCCTTCAATAACACAGAAAGGATCTTTTTTCTTCCCAGGATATTCAAGACTCCAGAAGGAGTTTGAAGCCACTGTCGAAAACCAATGCAGAAATTTGTGTGGAACCTTAACATTTTTATGCCCCTCTCTGCCCCAGTTAGTTAGTACCCTTCTGCTGATGGAAACTCCTGCTCAGCAGAGGTGATAGGAACACTCACCTGCTTTAAAGCAAGTCCACTCTCCCACCTTAAACATACTTCTTCAATACTTTCAGTCATATGACTACAAAAGACTTCCAAGACTCATCAGGCCAACTTTGCCTGCACATAGGTTCTATATGTGGAAATGCACAGGCAAGGTATAAAGCACTGCACAAGTGAATCCCACAGATGTCTGATTCACAACGTCTATCCCTCAGAGAGTGGTCATGAGCAAACATGTACAGTCAGCCAGTTGGGTCTGGTAGCATGGCTTAACCTATGAGTCAACATCTGACTAAGTTAACACCTTCTCTGAAGCAGAAACAAACATCAGATTTTTGTCCTTGCTTCTTAAAGTACAAGGAAAGCTTGACCTGCAGGAATGACACCAAATATAAATAAAAATTAACAATTTGGGGGATTGCAGACATGTCTACATGGCAGTGTAATACAGACCTAATTAGGTAAGATTCAAATAAGCCTATTTGGGTACCACAGGTGGCAGAGAGCTTAGAGTGGACTATTGTCCATGCAAATGCCCAACACAATGACCAAACCAAACTGATTTCATTAATTTCTGTTCAATGCATTTCTGTTAGCATAAACAAACTTCCAGAGAAGGAAAGCGAAGCAAATCCACAATACTTTAATAACATTATTTTATAGAACCAGCTAGAAAAAAAAGCTAATTTGGAAAGGTATCTGGGAGAGATAGCCACAGTAAGTAAGATTTTTTAAAATTAAATTAATTAACATTTCAAACTGACAGGTGACAGCAAATAGGTTTACCCTTTATCTTCAATAAAACCAAAACTCCTGGGAAATTACATACAAAAACCTGTCAACAGAATACAAATTTGCTTAGTAATTAAAAGAACTTGGAAAATTACTGGTAAAGATGTACAATATCCTATTCCGTCCTTTTGGTTGAGTGTATGGTACTTTGGACATACTGGTTAAGACTGAAGGAAAAAATGTTGTATTCTAAGTTTGCTCACACTTTTCTAAGCTTTCAGATCTCCCAGAATAAGACATTAACTTCCTGTACAAAATCCTCGATTTCTTATATCCTTCCACCCTCATGAATAAAGCTACAAGACCACAGCACATTCTTTAAGTACAGGGTCACTAAACGTTTCTTTATCAGTTCTCTTGTCCCATTCGGTGCACATAACAAATGCATTATGGAGCAAAATTAAAAGCCATAAAAGCAGCATTTAACTTCATTTTAATTGAAAATTGCACTGAAATAATCTTATTTTAATGTAGTTTTGTACATACACGATCAGCCTGGGTGCCTGTCTGTGCGTGTGCACAAAGAAACAGGTATATTCCAATTTGAAGGGAGGAGGTTGCTTATAAATTTTATGGAGTCCCAAAGTTAACTAAAGAAGAGAAAAGTAGGGGACAGGCTGACTTGTTATTCATCCACGTTAATACTTGGTTTTCTTAGAATATAGTCCATTACCAAAGGACTTTGAAGAGGTTTCATATATTCAGAGAGTGGTAGAAGAAACTGTTAGGTTCACCTCATCTGGTTTTCTGCATGTCACAGGTGTTGTATGTAATACCCAGTGGAGATGATCTGACTATGGGTTTTAGAAAGGCATTTAACCTTGACGGCAACTGAGACTGCACACTTCTACTAAGTCACTCCAAGTCTCAGCTTCACCACAAAACATAGTGTCTTATTACCCATTCAAATTCTTCTGACTTCAAACTCACAGGTCTTTTTCTTTGGCTCCCATATATAAAGGTCCTCCAATACTGGACATCCTGTCCTTAATGTGGACACTTCATTAATCACACCTCTTAACCACCTCCTCATGAAGCTAGACAGATTGAACTTCTTCAGTCTCCCCTTACAATACAGGTTTTCTAGATTTTCTCTCTTTTAGGTTTTCTTTGAGTGTGTGATAGTCTTTCTTTGATATCCTACTCTGGTTTTTATGTCCCTTCTTTAGTGCCATTTCAAGTATGCCTTCGTAATTTTATTCCCTAAATGAGCATCTAGATCATGTATTTTAAAAGCAAAAAACATTGAAAACATTTTAAAATGTTTCACATGATTTTTACTGCAGGACAGGAATCTCGTCATGCTAACATGGAGGTCATCTGCTGAAGTTGTGCATTCCTGCCTCTCCTGAGGTAGGTATACCTACTTCAACATTTTCAAAAGAGTCTAGTTATATATCATAAAGAACATCATGTACACATAAAATAACCCCTTCAATTTCTAAATATACAAACAAAACTTCAAGCAAACCAAAAAACACTCCTTACCTGCCTGGGGTCTGATTGTTGTGAGAGATTCCAGGTAGTCCTTCATGTCTTTGTGTTTGAAGCCAACAGAGATTTCAAAAGGTGTTTTATGTAGTACATTCAGGTGATCAGGATTGGCACCCTTCTCCATGAGCTGCTGTGCCAAGCTCACCTTTCCACTAACAGCTGCCAGCATTAAAGGACTCCAGCCCATAGTCTTCACAGTGTAATTACAATCAGCTCCCCAGTCTAATAGCAGATGTACCACTGCCTCGTGTCCATGCTGAGCAGCTGCCATTAGTGGAGTGATATCAGGAAGGTCATCTCTGCTGCTGCTAAGTACACTTGTGCTAAAGTGGTCATAATTGTCTACAAAAGCTCCAGATTCCAGCAACAATTTCACCATACTGACGTGGCCACCTCTGGAGGCCATTGTGAGGACACTGGCTCCTAACTTATTCTGTGCGTTGAGATCAGCACCATTCTCCAGCAAGATGTGAGCCACACTTAGATGTCCAAATCTTAAGAGAAAGAGACAAGGAGGATAATTAACACCTTGGATGGCAGAGGCTTCTCAAAGAAAAGCAACATACTCTGAACAGAAAACTTTGTTACCAAATTGGCCTATTGACTAATACACTATGTGGGATCATGCATGCATTGAACAAGTAGAATAAAAATTTCAAAGAGTCAAAGCTAAAGGAAAAAAAAAAAAAAAAAAAAGACTGTTCTACAAACTTGATAGCCAGGCTTTTGTATTTGTAGTTGTGAACCATCAATGAACCTCCACAATGGAAGAAGGCTCAAAGAAGACAGGCATGTGCCCATGAAGCTCAAAGAACACAGCCAGTGGCAACAGCTGTGGTAAAGCTGAACTTCTTTCAACACAAAGGTGTCCAGAGGGTGGCCTTTGTTTTAAAGAAACAGCTCTATCAGCAGAGTGGGACAACTGGCTGTGTAAAAGGCCTTTCCTAAAACAATAAACAAAGTATTACCCTCCTGAGTCAGCTGGATTGTGTTAAGCCCAACACGGAGCACCAAAACTGAGCAACGAATGAAACCAGTTTTGAAAAGAGCAAGGGTCTTGAGCTGGCTTCCAGCCACATATTTCTTCCTGACAACTGAGGACACCCAGAATCACGATGGTGGGTATACAGGGACTGATAATGGGCGTGCCATTTGTCCTGTGGTTCAATGCTGTGTTGCAGTTGCTATGTGATGCTTGTGTTATGACTTCAGGATATAGCTGGATCGCTAGGCTAAATGAAAACCCTGTGTAACATCAGATACCTTCCAATAAGGAAACTTGGTATTAAAGCATTAAACCCTTGACACCAGTTTTAACAGTGATCCAGCTTTGATACCACTTGACTGTCAGAAGCTTGTCAGTGAGTAAAAGACAATCATGCAAGCCATAAACTCAACCATCTAGCTAAACTGTGAAATGGAAACCCTTTACTGTTCCTCAGCTGAGGAATCCCACATCTTAATAAACATAATACACTGACAAGATGTGTACTTTGTGCTCTTGTTGTAGATATCATGCATGTGTTTGTGCAGTGTTTAACACAATCAAACTTTGATCCTCAAAGCAGCCTTTGTATACTGCAGCAAAGCAAATGTTAGTTGAGGAAATCGCGATGAATGCTACTAACAGGAGACATGAGACCAGAACTCCCTATTTTCATTTCAGAAAGTACACAGCTACAAAAGTAAGCCTGAGGGGCCTGTCTAATCCCTAGGTCTATCCTGGTAGCCTTCACTGCGTGACTTCAGTAGAGCCTGCAATCCCTGTACTGTGATTAATTTAGAGTATATATGCTATCTCCTGTACAATTTCAACAGGGCTAACCACAGCCAGAAAATTAAACATGTACATAGTTTAAAACCTATGTTTGTACAAATACAACATTTCCTTTTCAGTTATCCATTAAAAAGAAGCAAGCAACATGCTCTCCCACTTTATGCTTTCTCCACAGGTTTCAATGATACCTACTTTTCAAATGGCAGCAAGTAATTTCTTTAAAACAGTGAAATGGTTATTATGATTTGAGTTTATTGTTCTTAGAGAATGAGAGTACGGTTTTCATTAAGGGGAGAAAAAAAATATCCAGGAATGTTCCTGCAACTTCTTTCTTTTTTTTTTTTTTTTAACCTTCATAAAATAACAAAATTGTTGAACCTTGTCTTCCTTGTTCTTACTGGGAAACCAGCTGTGTGACTCATTCTTTGGGAACTTTCTATGGGCTTTAATTGAAAAGAGAAATGAAACAGACTCTTTTCTTCCAAGTATTTTAAAGTTATGAAAAAAAACCCACACCAAAAACCATTTCTCCTCTCAATTAAGCAATCAATTATTATAGGAAAGCACTGCCCTCCAACCTGTAAACCCGAAGGGTACTTTTATATGTAAAGATAAGCACAAACACCACCATTAGCAATACAGGGACCTCCCACAACCCAGAGATGGATTACATGAGGCACCCCGTCACTGATGCGGAAAACAATCCGGTCTTGTCATTAAAACCCTCAGCAATGTTTTTCCATAATTCTCCAGTGAGCTGATTAGGAAACTATGGAAAAACCAAGTGAAAATAATTATTTTTGTTTGCTTCAGTATGTTTTTATGTCAGAGGTGACTTTTCAACAGGTAGGTATACACATATACCAAAACCCAAACCATTAAGTAAGGGTGTGTACATATCTTATTTCCACAACAGTAAAGAAGTGAGCAGCATTTTCACATTCCGGTCACCTCTGACAGCAATTCCACCCCAGCTTTACCCAAAAAACCCCAGCATGCACAGCTTCAATCACCACATCCTTCCCACAGAAAAGGAAAACCTAACACCCAGCATAACACCCAAATTTAAAAGCCAACAACCCCTCCTCACCCACCCCCGGGGAAGGCAACAGGTGATCCCCCACCCCACTACACCAGCGACGAGCAACCGCGGCCTACAACATGGCGCCTTCCCCACCCGCCCTCACACACGTTGACCCGCCTTAAGCCCCCGCGCCGCTCCCGGGCGCCCTCCCCCGGCTTGGGGAGCGGAATTTTGAGGGCGAAGGGGCCGAGCGCCGGCGG